GTGAAACTCTGTACATACGATCTGAAGCCTTCCAATCATGTGCTCTGAGACAGATTTTCTCTTTGTACTTTTCCTAGTCTTTTTCTTTGCTTTATCACTAAGAAGTAAGTTCCCTGAGGGCAGTCCTCTTGTCTTACATCTCCATCCTGGATGAAGGAATGAACCACCCTTTGATGGTTATGATGAGTAATTGTGATGGGTATTTAATTATTGACTCTTAAAGAATGACTCATAATTTAAAGCCTACTAATATTTTTGACTTACTAGATAATTCTATTGAGTACTTATGAAACACACTAGGATAAAGTATCCTATAGTTAGCACAAGTAACTGCTATTATGATCCCATCAGAGAGATTTTTCCATTGGTGCCATTTCAGAGAGGAATATTATTTGTTTAAATATTCTTTCTTTTGAAGAGAATAATCTGCTTCCCTACAGTTATTTGGGGATATAGGATTCCAACCAGATCTATATCTGCAAACAAAGTACTATCTTCTTTGCAAATTTATTAACTTTCTCAATATAAATGGTCTACTGTTTATAATTATTTTAAATACATCTTACAATATCTCTTATACTCCTAATGATCATAATTTATGAACTCCAGAGATAGCATGACAGAGAAAAACTAAACAAGCTAGATAGAAGAGGGTAAAGCGAAGGATGAAAAGTGTGCTGATTTAATCTAACAAGTAGGTATTGAGCACACACAGAGCAGCCCTGTGAGGTGAGAGGAGTAGGCCAGAGAGGAAGAGATTAATGAAACTTTCACTGCAAATCTTTATGCTTCACCTCAGTCAGAACCATTCTCCCAGGATGGTTTGGAGGTGCCACTGAAGTGGACACAAAATGTTCTCATTAGCCAATTAGTTACACAATTTATACAAGCTTTGTGTTTGTCACTTTTAACAGTCTGATGCCAAATTAAACCCACTTACTTGGCAACCTAACACAATCAAACACATATTTGTTTCATTCTGACTTTTCAAAGGAGATATCTAATTTTAAATGATCTAATTCTTTCCCTTTCCTATAGTATTAGTGATCAGGATAAAGTCACCAGACTTTAAGTAAATTTCAATGGGCAGAGTAAGAGTAAGAAATAAAAATGAATGAAAACAATAGAAGCATTCTTTCTGCATAAATTTAGGTCTTTTATCTGAGATTAATTCTCCATGAAAGTTCAGCAGTTAATTATTGCCTACATATTAGGGAATATATGTTAAATTAGGGCATGCACTTTAAATAAAAAGAGTAGAAAAACCTAACAATTTAAATGAACTATATTCCAAAGGATTTATGCATTTTCTCTCAAAAGAATGACACAATTTAGTAATTGCTAATTTCATAATTGCTCTTGTAGGTTGCTTTTGCCTACAATAATTACTAAAGTTAACCCAAATTGCAAAGAATATCAATACAATTTTCACTTTTTTGTAGTAAGATACCTTCAATAAAGAACTAAATTAAAATTAATTTTAAATAAATAAGATGGCATTATAAGAGTAATAGGTGGATTTTAATTAAAAATATGATGGCATAGTAAAAGGAATGGGGGCATTTTAATTAAAAACAGTATTTATTTAATTAATTATTTTTTTATGTATTTTGTGCAGGTTCTCACTAGGCAGCTTTGACTTGTAGTGATCTCTTGTATTCAGCCTCCCCAATGCTAAGATTACAGGAGTGCACCACTATGCCTGGTCCTGGTGGCTGGCTAAGCAGTCCTGGGGTTGGGGTTGGAGGGGCAAGGGATCAAACCTCTGTCCCTGTGCTTACCTAACCACTGAGCTATCTGTTTTTGTTTTTGCTTTTTTTTTTTTTTTTTTTTGGTGGAACCAGGGATTGAACTCAGGCCCTTGTGTTTGCCAGGGAAGCACTTATTCTACTGAGCCATCTCCCTGGCCCCTACTGAGCTATCTTGCCAGACAAGAAAACAGTGTTTATAAGATGCTAGTTATTTTACATCTTCTTTATCTTACTGAATTATACTACATGGTTTCCATTGAAAATGGTGAAATTATTAAAGTTAAATACAAGCCATCTTCAAATAGTTTTTGCACTAACTCCTCCCAACAAATGGAATCATTATGTGCTACAAATGCATGCTAATGAAAACAAAAATTTAAAATATTTTTGAAATTTTAATGAAAAATAAGATCTTCTGTCTTCCACTATTATTTTCTGTTACCGAGACGAGTGATGGAAAGAGCAGGGCTCCAATACTCACACATTATTTCATTTACAAATTCTTGGCCCTTAAATGGGCAGCACTAATAACTTCTGTTCACAGGGAGACATTTCAACACAAAGGAGCTCTCTATTCCCTGAAGACCTTACAGCCAAAGGAGGACAATACTTCCATGTTCCCAGTTTTGCCTGCCTAAAGGGGATCAGAAACTTAGAAGAGGGATAGTACTTGAGCAAGAACACCTGCCCCAAGTGGTGAAGGTAATGTTAGGTGAAGAGGGACTCAGAGCTGACCCATTTCTGCCACTTCCATCAGCCTTGAGATCATTAGAGCTGTTTGATGACATAATTTGGTTTTGAATGTTCTCCAGGGCTTTTCTCTTCATTAGAAGTCCTTTTTTTATTAATACAGGGTCTAGAAGGTCTTACTGTGTAGATCAGACTTGTAGTGATCCTTCTGTTTTCAGCCTCCCAAGCACTGGGATTACAGGTGTGCACCACCACCCAGTCTCAATCTCATGTCAGTGCACCCTTGGGGGGGGAGCTAGCACTGCACGGCACACCGGGGATAGAACCCCAGTCCTTGCATTTGTCTAAGCAGGTGCTCTAATCCACTAGCTATCTGCCAGCCCTCTTCATTAGAAGTTCTAATGCATCCATCAAAATTGGCCTTCAATTTAAAATAACACACAGTCTTCCCCCACCCCAGAACAATTCTTCCTTGTAGTCTTCCCTCTTAATTCTCCTTCCCTTGCACAACCCTAATTCCAATGTAGAACAATGGATAAATATTTAACCCTCATTTTCCTTACAACAAGGATGGCATTTAAAATCTTCATTATTAAAAACATGAATATATTTCTAGTATAATTTTCAAATATCTAGAATATATTGTATCACAAAGAGCATTAAAACTAAATCTCTAAACTGATACCAAGGGAAAAAGTCTATAAAGAACATGATAGAATGGATATTCATTTGAGGGGAAAGGATGTTAAATGTGAATCAACTTGAAACCAAATAAATTAGATGCATAACTCTCTAAGGTGCATTTCTCTGAAGCTCACAGTCAGGATGTCTCTTACATGGAGGTCATTCTCTCAAATTGTTGATTTTATTGAGTTAGTGGGGTCTAAACATAGTTTTAAAACAGCTTCTAGAAGACAAAGATATACAAGAAATGAAAACATCAGTGTAACTAGTATGTGTCCCCTATTTTCTCTGTAGATGTTTTCCTTGGACCATACTAAATTAATAAACACGAGCCTTTGATTGTTATAAATTTTATTAGAATAGAAAATAATACATACAGATAACCATAGGATACACACACAAAAATTTAAAGATAAATTTTATGCTTTTCAATATGAAAAATTCCCATATCTCATGGAGATGCATTGCTAGAAATAACATGAAACAAGAGAGTAATCATCTTGGAAATGAAATGTAGGAACATATTATAGGAATTGCTAGTTAATAAAAAGGTACAGCTCCATTAAATACAGCATAAAATACAAGTATTGGAGAAAGTGTTTCCCCACTTTTTAACTGGAAATAACAATGGTCATATGAAATCTACTGGTCATTCAGATTTTTTCTATTTATATACAGTATTTACAAACCTTATAGAGATAGTTATATTTTATCTCCTGTGAAAATCGCGACTTCATCTTGAACAAAATCTCTAAACATAAAAGTGGTAAGTTATGGAGATATCAATTTTTTGCTAATTTTTAATCTTTTCTTAGAGTTGAACTGTTGGTTCCAATTTTTGTTATCTTTGAAAATGCAAACAAGTTCCAGGAACATGTGAAATTACTAGGAAAGAGGTAAAAACTGACTTTGATCTGCCAATTTTCGTATACTCTTTACGTATTGCTATTAAGTCATGTCTTCAACAATCCTTTGAAAATGACATACTGAAAGTCTGAATCATACATATAAAAGTCAGTAGCAGTATCGTGGTTTTATTGCAAGTTTAACTCAGCAACTTAAAAGCCTGTCTGACTCACTGAGATAGACAGTGGGATTTCATTAAAAAACCATCTTCACCATCCAAAAGAGAGAAAGTCCCTTCGTGCAACCAAAAATCATAAAAGAATTTTGTGGAATTTTTATTATTTGGCTTGAGGTTAAATCATTCCTCAATTTCTCAACTATGTTTTAGTAAGCCTGAAAGTTTATTTTTAGGTGTGAAAAAAATAAATTTTTTTGAAATTAAGTTGTAAATTGTGAAAAAAGACAAACATTTTCATTTCAGTTCTTCATAAATGAATGAAATAGTACATTCCGAGTGTGAGATGCCAGCCTAAGAAATGCAGCTCATCTTCATGAACTTTATGTGCTTAAGGAAATCCATGCAAGGGTTCGCATAGGAACGTGACATTGGGAGGGACAAAGCACTTTCATATTTCCTTCTTGAACCCGTAACATCTAATTCAAGGGGGAGAGGCAGATCAGGTGGATGTTATTATGACCACAGTTTAGTAAAGAGTGACAGAGAGTCACAGAAAACAAACAGATGTCAAAATTCTCACAAGAGAGCAAGAAGCCATGTTCTCTTAACTTCCCCAAAAGCATTTGCCAGCAACACATCCCATCCCCTTCTAATAGGACAGTTGTTTAAGTGTATTTTTCACCCTGGGGGATTTAAGTTACCATTTGAAATTATATTAAGTCTTACAAATAATGTTGTGATATTGAGAAAAGAGCATTTGGATTAAATGAAGAACATTTCAATGTTAAAAAAATGTGTTGCGTGTGTGTGTGTGTGTGTGTGTGTGTGTGTAGCTATGTGGGAATTTGAGGCTTTCCCATAAACTCATAGTTTAAGAACATTTGTATCAAAAGTCTGCAGTATGTAATATGTAAATTCCTTTGGCTTATCAAGTAAATATTAAGGCATTTCAGATTCCTCTAAAAGGATTAACTATTTTTTATTTTATTCATATTTTACCTATAACGAAGTAGAAAGTTAAAAACAGTTGAAAAAAACATGCACAATCACCATTGCATGAAAGTACTTTTTTGGGTAACCAATTCCAGTAAATAATAAAAAAATAATAAATATCACCACAGGGCATTTACAATAAAGAGCAGTACCGTGGGTGTATAACTTGACATAGGGTGGACACTCAAGATGGGTGAAGTGGATCCTCTTGCATCCATATCTGCCAAAGATGATAAACAGCTCATTAATAATGATTATGCTAATATGCTATTAGGGTGACAGAGTCCCCTAAAAATCACATGTTAAAATTCCAGTCCTTCAATGTGATGACGCTAGGAGCTGAGGCCCTTGAGAATCGACACTGACTTAGCTGGTACCTTGATGTTGGATTTCTCTTAGTCTCTAAAGCTGTGAGAAGTAAATTTCTGTACTTATAAGACACCCTGTCCATGATTTTGCTAGAGTAGCCTAAGCAGATCAAGACAGAAGATAAAAACAATGGTTCTCCTATAAATTTTTTAAAAATCAGATTATGGCACAAATGTAAGCTGTGATCACATTAGTTCCTATCTGGTACATCGACATAGCACGTATTTGTTATCAAGAGTATAAAAACACTGATGTGTTGTAAGTGTTCTCCAACATTACAAGCTTTGTTCATCTAGTATTACTTTAATTGAAATTGGAAAAACAACTTAATCATTTAAAAAGTAATTATACTTGATCACAAACAACTGAGGGGGTAATTCAATGGTTTAATTAAAGCTTCATTGGGCAAGGGGTTGGAAAATCTGCTTGTTTCTATTTTATGCAGATAAAAATATTAAACATAATATAATATCATCCTTTAAAAAGCAATCAATAAAATAAAAACCATTTTCAGAGCTGGCTCTGTGCAGTCCCCATTCTGCAAACTCAGCAAGACAGCAGACAGATGAAAAGGCCACTCTTGACTCAGCAGCCTCAGATGCTAATGGCGCCTGCCCCTGCCAAAGCAGAGAAACTCCTGGACAGAATGGCTTTGTCTATGTTGGCATGTGAACGCTACACCTTACCTTATTCAGGAAACAATAAGTAGATATGAATTACTTTGAAACCTACATTGATAATAAATGTATTTTTATCCCTGTTTGGGTCAACTAAATGCATTAAGTTTTACAAGTGTCATAGCCTGAAGTGATTTTCATAGGACTTGTGGAACCCAGTTCCAAGATAAGTGGTTCCAATTGTCTTAGCACCTTTGTCTTTGGACGGCAGACTACAATTTCACAGGATGTTAAAGCCTCCAAGGTTTCCTATCTCCATTTGTCCTCAGTTTTTAGTGTCTGACGTTTTCTTTTCTAAGACTTTAGACAATCACTTCTAACTTTCCCTGCACCATGAAGGAAGCCCAAGGTAATAAATGGAAATGAGAAATAAAGTTATTTATGTCACTATCAAACAGAGAATGAAGATAAGAAAAACTCTACAGTACTAAAAACTCCAGACATTGGGCTTAAAGGGGAGGATGAAATTTTTTGGTACCTCTGTCACTTATATACTATGTACACTAAAGTCTGTTTCCCTTTATCCTTCCAGTGCAACTTTTACAGTAAAATAGGTATTGTTTCAATTTTGAAGAAAACAACAATAAAAAAAAAACCACCAAAAAAAACTTTGTGAAGCTCTTTGGAAATTAGAAGATTTTTCTATAAGAGGTAACTTTTGGATTGACACACACAAATTGTTCCTAACCTAAGCATTGTTAATTTTTCTATTGAAAGAATTTGATAACACTTATATATAATTTATAACAGGGAAATTACTGGAATATTAAAGCACTTAACTCATGTGTGGGTTCAATGCTGCTATTGAGCAGAGCTCCGGAATTCTGTTGGCACAGGCTACCAAAAGGCTAACTTAAGCATAGCTCAGAAGGAGAATAAATAAATACATAAATAAAAGTTTACTAAATAGTTTTTCCTTTTTAATATTTATTTATTTATTTGGTACAGTATCTTGCTATGCAGCTGGGACTTGTAGTGATACTCCTGTCTCAGCCTCCCCAACGCTGAGATTGCGGGTGTGCACCACCACACCCAGTTGGGGTGACTGTCCCAATGCGCCCAGGTTTACTGGGCCTCCACAGCATGTGAAGGGACCTCCACAGCATTGAACCTGGGACCTTGTGCTTGCCCGGCAGGTGCTTAGACCACCGAGCTATCTCCTAAGCTTGCTGAACATTTTTTGGTGTCTTTTCTTCCAGTTCTCATCTTTCTCCCTGCTCTGTACCACTTCTGAGGTTTTCCTTTCACTCTTATCATGGGAACTGTGAAACCTTCTCATCCTTGGCACAAAGGGCACTTGCTAGGGGCAAATGGGCAAAGGGGCACTGACACACTCACCACTAGGGCCCAGTAACCCTGATGGAAGCCATGGGGAAGCTGAGCCCCACCAACTTACTGGTAATTCTTGGAATCCTGATCTGTTCACTACTGGTGCCATCCCCTCCATCTGTGGTGGCTTTGACTTCAATAATGTAGTCTTCCTTAAGGGGCAGCAAAAGTTCAGCTGAAGTTTTATTTGTATTCAACACATGCACAATGTTTTGACTGCTAGTCCTATAGAAAACCTAAAACACACAAATAAAAACATTTCTTATGTTGTCTGCTTTTATTTTCTTCAGAAAACCTTCTCTTGTCAAAGTAAAATTATGTTGTTCTCTGCACCCACTAGAATATAAATTGCATTCCCTGATCAGTCTGTAGGCCTTAGATTACAGGACAGCACACAGTTGAAGCATGAGGTTCTTCAAGTCAGGGAGGTGGAGGAAGAAGCTCGTCCATGGAACAGCCCAGTAGGGCTGGGCATCTGGGCAGAAGCAACAGGGCCAGGCCCTGCTGTGTGGGCCTTGAGTGCCCAAGAAGGAATCAGACTCAGGACTTTCAGTTGTTTTTAAAACAAACTAGAATGAGTATCAGAATTAGACAACTCAGTAACACACAATGTTCAAAAATTGTCCAAAATTCCCACATAAGCAGAATTAGTTCATAAAGGTTTATACTTAACAATTGAGATATTTAGGAAAAATACCTTTTCTTCATGAAATCTTGGTGCCTATATCACAATTAGAATATAGAAACCATATCAAGGAGATTTTACAAACATTGTTCAACCTACCTTCCTGAGACTTTCCAAAAGTGGTAAATTATGCGACTTACTTTATATCCTGTGACTTCAGATTCATTCTCCATTGCTTTCACTTGTTCCCAGTTAAGTAACACTTTAGTGTCAGTCGCATTCCAGATCACATTTCCTGGAGGCTGACTGGGAGCTGGAGATGCAAAATGGGAAATTAAAACTGATTTGAGCACAGAGTAGTAGCTTCAGTAGAGCCAATAAGTGACAATCACAGGAGGCTAGTGAAAGCAGAGTTCTTGGTAATGTTCAGTTTGCACATGCAATTAGGAAAAAAGTCAGAGCAGCCAAATTTATTTTTAGAGGGCATTTCAATTAAATTGCGAGAAAGTTCATTTTATCGTATTCATCACCCATTTTAGGGCACTTTCACACAGCGCACTTGCTGTCTCCTGCAAGATGTTTTGGCCTGGAGAGCAGTAAAGGCCTTACCTATCACTAGAGGGACACGTTGTGCCCATGAGCCCGGGAGGAGGCAGGGTAACTTGTTCTGACACAGAAGGCTGAGAGAAATTGCCAACTGAGCAGATTAAAGTCACACGAAATGAAGTGTGGATGATTTTTAATCCAGCCTTGTATGATGAGATGGGGAAAATGGGAAGCAATCAAAAATAAGGATTACTTAGATTTATTCTCATGAAGTAATAACTACACACATGAAAAATTGCAACCTAGCATCTATATTTTAAAGTCTTCCTTCTCAGAGTGCAAATCAATTTTTAAGAAAAATAAGGCAAAGCACTAAAAAGTTAATGAGAATTCCATTAAAGAACTAATGAAACTCTTTTGAGTTTATGAAGTTGGACTCATGGCTTGATTCCCTTTTGCGAACCCCAGGCAGGAAACCCCGGGGATAGGGAGAGCATTTGTCAACAGCCGTGCAGATGGAACACTGATCACTCTGCTTATTATTGATCATAAGACAACAGATATTGGGCTCCTTTGTCAACAGTAGCATAGTTACCTGATAACAGTGCTCAAATATGTTGGACTTGCGGATTTAACCACAGAATGTGATTTGGTTAACTGCATTTGTAATGGAGAAATGATATAAAAGCTGGCCTCTGTAGAGAAATTCCTAAACATCATTGACTCATTGCCATGAGGGAAATACAGCTGGACTTACAGGGGGGTGGAATCACAGATACATTCATGTGACTAATAGCACCATACAAGATTATGTTCCTCACGGAGGCTTTTGCTATTGTCTCTTCTTTAGCACTATTCTTTGTTGCTTTCAATTTATTTTTTTTCTTCAATACTAACCATGAGTTTAGGTCAGTTAAAACTGTCCAAGCTGAAGAATGGTGATAAAAACAAAAATATTGTATAATAGCAACAGCTTAGGGTCAAAATTGTAATAAGCACGTCTGTTTGCTCAATCTCCAAAGGAGGAAGGCTCACTGGTTAGGACACTGTCCCCACAGCCTGCAATTCCTTGTGGCCAGTAGAAAAGAACAAGTTTGATTTCGGTGGCTCAGGCATGGTTTGTACTCCCGAAGGTTGTGTCCCAGGAAGTGTAGGAAACTTGAGGCATCTAGGCTGAATTACCTATCTCTACAGTAGCTTTGCAGAACAAGTGGCTGAAAGTTGGGATTTATCTTGTGCAAATCCCATAACAGAAGAGTTGGGGGAGATGAAAATAAATGAGTACTTGTTGACATGACAAAAAGAAAAAAGGAAGAGAAAGCAAAAGCAAAAAAAAAATTGTGTCCTACTGTTTTTATTGAATCATATTAATGTTTTATGAACACAAGTCATATATAACTTCTAATGTCTGTTGTATTTGCTACTTTTTAAAAATCTGACTCGTTTTAAAAAAATCTATTTAAACCTCATCCCAGACAGTATTCATATAATAATGAGATTGATATTAGTTACGTTTTGCTACTCTTTAAAATACATGAAGCAAATGCTCCATTTAAAATTTTTAAAATTTTAGGGCTGGAGAGATGGCTCAGTGGTCTAAAGCACCTACTTAGAACAAGCTTAGCAAAAGCATCAGGGACCGCGGTTCAATCCCCCAGCACCACA